TTGGAAGTCCCTCCAGTGTAATTTATTTTTGTACAGCTTTGTATAAGGTGCTTTGTCAGAAAAGATCCTAAAGACCTTCTGACTCAAATACCAAAATGCAGCACTTTTTTTGGTGAGCAGGCAACAATCCCTTGTTGCCACTTTCTCGCATTCACTAAGAGTGTCTCAAAATCTCACAAGTCATGAGTTTGGTTCATTTTTCTTTCTGTTTTTGTGGGTTTTTTTTTCCTTTCTCTCCTTCTGAAGTAGATCTGCCCTTTAAAGGGATGGAAACTTACATCTTTACCTTATTAAAAAAAAAAAAAAGGAAAGGATAACCAAGAATCTTGCCAAGGCAAGAACCCAACTCAAAAAAAGGTGCAGGTTTCAGGAATTCACAATATCTAAATATCTAATATTATCTAATATCTAATTCTAATATCTGTAATATCTAAAGAATCTACAGGAGAGGAAAGCAAGATCAATCAGCATAAGTGAGGCAGAGCCCCATGATATCCACCACTTTTGGATTTTAATGTTCATTCAAAGAAAAGAAGCTCAGCTTAATTTCAGCTGAAAGGTCTTAATAGTAATACGTAGTGCCCAGTTGTCTTATTTTGGCTGGTTAAATGAAGAAATTGTTCATGACTGACTTCAAACAATTGGGCCCCAGGTACTTTGATAGCTCATACTGATAGCATTCAGCATTGTCCACTGAATTGAAATTGTTATGCTATTAATATTAAATACATTATATAATTTTAAATATTTAATATATGTATGTTACATCAGTATTAAGAAGCCTGACACTTCCTACTGCAAACCCTATTTTCAGTTAGTTAAAACTTCTCATACTTGTAATGATTTGACACAAAATTTTCCGTGCCAGGTGTCTGCCTCAGGCAGAATTTTGTGGTGTTCTGTGGTGTGTTTGTTTTTTGGTTTTTTTCCCCTTTTAATGTCAGCCAGAGCTGCACATTTATTTCTGTGAGCAGCCAGCCAGGGAAAACCATGCAAAATAAACCTGGGAGCCTTTTTGAAGGGACCTAATGTGTCCTGATCCTGGGGGAAGGCACTTAACCTTTGTCAAAGGTATGACTTTCTTTTGGAAGCCTGCTCCAGTTGGAAAGCCTGCTGGGAGCTGGGTGAGCCCTGTGCTCTCACCAGCCTGTTGGAATATGATGCTCAGTGCAACCATCCCCTCTCAGTGCCTTCAGCTCCAAACCAAACCCACCCTGCTGTGTGCCTGCTCCCCAAACAGCACCGGTCAGGAAAACTGCTGGCAATAAGAAGAAAATGTGATGTATTTCAGCCACCTTTCCTCCTTTTGTTCATGGCTCATCTTTATCATGCTCACCTTAAATATACTGAGCATGCCTTAATACCGGATTGTACTTTTAATTCGTGAAGTAAGTCTGCAAAGGACTGTAAGGAAAATCAGACATAAATTCAATTTCTATGTAAATTTTAAGGCTAAAGGAGGTGCCAAGCTTTTCCTTTGTTTTCTGTCTGAGTGGTTTTATGAGCAAGATACCTTCAATTTCATACTTGTTGCCCATGTTATGGAAAGAGGTCCTCCTCCTTCTTCTCTCAGTAGGCAGAACTTGCCTGTCTTGTCTCATGTTCTCCAACATCTGTCTCAGATTTGGCAGCCCAAGCACAGAGCCTGAGACTGCAGCAGTTGTCTTCCCTCATGCTGTGAAGCCACAACAGATCCCGGTGCATCCCCAGGAGCGTGGTTTGACTCGGTGCTCTCCTGAGAGGATTTTCTGCACTAGGCCTCTTCCACCTACCCAGGAACTGCAGATCAGTTTGTCAAAATAATGCAATGGATTTAAGATTTTATCCTAAAACTGAAACGAAAGCACAGAATTATAATTTCTGGTACAGCATCAATTTGAACATTTCTTCTTTTAGTGGTATTCATACACTCCCAAATACCAAACAAGTATTTTTATTGTAAAAATTTCCACCATTTTTCTCTGTATTGATGCTCTGGAGACCAGAACAATTTATAGGGAATTTTAAGTACATTTAATCTAATTTTATTTTCTTAACTTGACATTTCTTAAATTCTTGAATACTCATTTTGCAGTATCTCAATTATATTGCTCACAAGATTGTAAGATGACAATCTTTTACATCTCTATGACGGATATAATAATTCAGAATAGTAATCATTTTCTTGCAAAAAATGTTTTAACGTGCTCAGTTTGTTTTTAGTCCTTTTGCTCTTTATGCTGCCTAACTGGTGTGTTAAAGGCTATAAGTATAGACAGAAATTAGACTAAAAATTAGAATGTGCTCAGTTTGTTTCTCTTCATTTTGCTCTTTACGATGCATAACTGCTGTGTTAAAGGATATAAGTATAGACAGAAATTAGACTAAAAATTAGATCTGTTCAGCAAAACTTTGATTGCTGTATCACAGCCTTTTATGACAGCATTCAGTTCAAAGCTGTTTGCATACCTTATGGAGCAAGCTGCATATTTTTCCAGCATGTGTATCCAGTGTGCATCCTGTAGTCATTACATTTTTGCACACTCCACTGGCTGAGCTGCATGGACTATTTTAACCATCACCAGGAACACTTGACGGAGTTCAGCTGCTCATTTGAGTGCTTCGGTTTGTGTGCTTTATGGCTTCAGTGGTGTGTGTGTTGATAAAGTTCTGCTCTGTGCTGTTAAATCTTTGGTTCTGCCAATCCAGCTCGGTGCCATGCTGGGGGAATTGCACGCGTTGCTGAGCGCCCGCTCCGCGCTCGGGACGCAATAATCAGCAGTGTTTTGTTAAATGAGCTGCATATTTTTGTTTTTATATACATTGCTTACCCAGTTGTGTACATTTGCCCAACTCATTATACAAAATAAGCTTGATTGGAATAAGAACATTCTCTACCAGCTGTCTGCTCTGAGTCAGTATGTAACAAAATTAGCAACTTTCCCTTTCCAACAGTGACATGATTGCATCCAAAGTTTAAGGCAATTGGTTTGGAGATCTTGTTTGTTTCATTCACTCCATGCAAACATCAAGATTAACAAACCAATTTGTTGCAACTTAATTTGTTTTCAAAAATATGAACAGAGTTAAGTAACAGAGGAAAATCTGAGCATTCTAATAGAGGGAAATGTTTCCATGCAGAGCATAAAGCATGTAGAGACCTGAATACCATTCTCTGACTTAAAGCCATCCATTATAAATGCAAGATGGAAAATAACTACAGGCCTCCCAAAGTGGATATTTCATCAGATAAGCAATATCCTAAATACCTAAAATTACAAACATAACATTCTGTAAATTTAAGTGCATTCTTTTTTCCAGAGTTATAAAAATAAGTTCATCTCATGACCACTAGACAATCTCAAAATGCATGAAAACTCTTGTGCAGGGATATGTAGTTTCCCTACTGCCTTTGGTGCAAAATTGAATTACCACCTTCAAAAAAGTGATTTTCTCAACTTGCTAGTTTTTCATGTCAGTTCTAGTCAAACCTTCAGGTTATTTTTAGATTTTGCTTTTACTGATTGGCAGAATTTGCAGCATAGAAGTATGTGCTCCCATTCACAAAATCTTCAGCACAACCTTACGTCAAAAAAACTTAATTTTTCTTGAGTACAGAGCCACTTAGGGCTATGCAGTTTACCTGGCATCCTACCTGTCCCATATGAAAGGATAAATGTGCCTGGTTCCTGTTTGTGTCCCACTGCTGATTCATTTCACTTTAATCTTCTCAGTCCCTCTTGCCTGAGCAGACTGTCTGGAAGGTCCAGATTTGTTTTTGCAAAGTTTTACATATGAAAGCTTGTTGTTTCAGTCAAAAATTGTTTGATTTTTAAACAGTGATCAATCAGTTCTTAGGTTTCTTGTGGACCATTATGAAGGGTGCCAATGTTACAATAGTTTGCTCTAAAAGAAAAGTGTGAATATATTTTTTAGTGGTTTGTCTTCACTTTTACCTTTAGGATAACAAATTTAGAGAGAGATAGAAATTGAATGTATCACTATATTGTGGACTGTTTTACAAAAACTAATTTAGACTTCATATTTTGTTTTCTTGGAGTACATCAACACTGGGTATCAAAAGAGTACAACAAATGAGGGATACTGCATTTGCCATCTGAAAAGTCAGTGTTCTCCATGAGATGAGCTAGATCCAATTTAGATTTTCTTAACAGAGACAGAATAAGTAATTTTGTATGAAATGACTTGAAGCAGACAGATGGTAAAGAAAAAGGTTTTGTCTCTGTTTTCTCTTGTGTTCCCCCTGCATTAATTTGCTTTTAGTATCAGTCCATTACCCTTAAAGATCTAAATTCTACTCTTCCCTTGACCTATTAAATATCATCTTCATTTTCCCCAAAGCTTTAGTTTAAACTAAGATCAGATTTAGAATATTTTCTTTTTATCTATCATATCCAAACAACTGATGGCTATGTGCAATTTCTGAGTAGGTATCCTGAACACTTTTTGCAAAGGAAAATTCTTTGCATTGCCAGGGGAAGAGAAATATACCTATCATGGTACTCAGGGGCGTGGTTCATCCACAGACTTGGGAGTGCTGGATTTAATGGTTGGACTTGATCTTGGAAATCTTTTCCAGCTTCAGCAATTCTGTGTTTCTGCCCTTTCTATCCTGTGATTCTGTGAAGCAGTTAGAAGGTTTTCTCAAGGAATGCTACTCCATCTCCCAGCTTTCCATCTACCTCTATAATGTTAACTGCAGCACACTCTGGTCATTTTTTCGTCTGGTTAGGATTCCAACTGAAAAATCAGCATGCTACATTAAAAACATATATTTTACATGTATCAATGCAGTGTGAAACAACATGGACATTTTAAATACTTGGAACAGACAGGATATCCATTATCTGAGTCTATGGAGAATACCAATAATTCATAAGATACGCATCTATTGCATATGTTATCTGTGTATATTTTTATGCATCTGGTATAGACAACACATGCAGAAAGTCTTTCAGAATTTGTACCTGATGTCTTTTCCTTTTTTTTTTCCTCTCCAGAGAGTAATTTTCAATGTTGTCAACTTCAGTAAAACAAAAAGCCTCTACAGAGATGGGATGGCTCCAATGGTGAAATCCACAAGCCGACCAAAATGGTGAGTTATTCTCTCAAAGAATTAATGAGACAAACGTTTTTTACTTGGCATTTGTACCAAAGACCCCTTGGTTGAGGAGTATTTTACCTGAGAGTATGAGAACCTTCATGCAGCAATGTTGTGAGGACAGGTTCTCTTTGGAGCAGATGTGAATGTGAATTCTGGAGGCCCCTGTAGTGCCTTGTTACAGATGCCATGACTGAAGGGATGTCCATTTGAGCAAACTGAGCAGTCAGGGCTTGGGGAAAATTGTTTTTCTGCAACTTTCCAGCTCTTTGGACAGTAATTGTACCATTTTTTGCCCGCAATTAATTTCCTAAAAAAACCTTGCAAATATTATGGGAGATGGACTGGGATTGGTCTTGTTTCGAAAAGCTGCTTGGAATTGTTCTCCCTATTTTGGGGTGGCTGGAGTTTGGTGGGGGAATGTGAGCTCTGAGCTCTTCCACGTGAGTTGACCTCATGTGAATGAGCAGTGCCCGGTCTAAGGCAGAGGGAGGCCAAACAACCTCATCATCAGCTCCATAAAATGTACAAAATGGGAACTCGTGTGCATATTAAACATGTGAATACCCATATAGATTGTACATTTTCTCAAAGCAAATGTAATGAAACATCTACTGTGAATAATAATATGTAAATCTAGTGAGTCTGAATGCATGCAAGACTCCCAAGAATTATTTGATTTGCCTTTGCCAGGAGACTTGTTTGAATATGGATAGTGAGGTTAGGCCAGAGGTGTACAGTAAGTTATTCTTGTCAGCCTTCACAGCTGCTGCTTTTTATTGGTTAATTAGTAATACATTTGATCAAGCTGGACATTATCTGGGCTTTATGAAGATATCTTTCTTAAATGCTTCAACTGTCACAAATTTTCCACTCACAAGATGAAAATGGTGGTCATAAGATTGTTCTCATTTGTGGCTTCCTCTTCATATGACCAACAGAATGGATATTTGGCTTTTTGTCTAGATGGCAAGGTCATATGGACAAAAGAACTGATTCACAGTACAATTAGTGGATTGAGTCAATTCCAGCTCAATAGGAACATGTAATAACATTGAAAATTAATTTAAAAAATCCATTGCATTTAGTGTTTTTGTAGCAAAAGCCATGTTAATTGTGTTTACTATTTAACTTCAGAAAAATCTTTTGGGGCATTTCAGGGCCACATTTATCAAGCATATTTTAATCATCTTTCAAAACCTTTAGCTTCTCTCACTGGGGTCTGGTATTTGCAGCTAAGTGTATTGTGTTTTAAGTTTATCTATAAATCAGATATTGCTTTCATACAAATTTTATGCCTTACTTTGGTTTCAAATTAAAGTGTAAATCTTACAAAACAATGCAAAATGGACTTATTTTTTTTAGAACATAGAGGCTCCTTCACTATTTTTAAAACTGATTTCTCTTCAATTTCCCTGGAGATCTATTTATTTTTGTGTTTTATATTTTTAGAGGATGTATTTTGCTCCCATGAAAGTGTGGAATGAATAACATTGCCTGAAGCCAGGCACAGTGTAGGCAGCAGGTGCTGAGCAGCTTCCTTTTACAGGGCTACTACCCTACTTTAATCCTGTTTCAAAAATTCAAGATGTAATTTTTTTTCTTTAAAAAGATGATTATTCTATTAAGATATTTTTATTTTTTTTCTAATAGTCTGCATATGAAAACATCTTGCTCTGCTTTGAAGGTGCACATTAATTCACACTGTTATCAGGGACCTTGGTGATATTGGGGTCTACTCAGTATAATTTTCTGTCTTGATGTTAATAGGATTTATGCATGTGTTTGCCAAGTGGGAAAACATATATATTATTTTTGGATATATGAGCTCTATCAGGGCTGTCTTCCATTTGGATTATGCCTTTCACAGTTACCTCTGTATCTGTTTCCATGGCATTCTAGTGCAACCTGTAAACAAAATTTTCTCTTTCTCTGTTTGCTGAAATAGGATTTAGCAGCAGTGGCAGCTGCTGTTGCAGCACACAGGTGGCTGTGGTCCTTGAGCACGAGCAGGGCAATATCCAGCTGCATTGATTGGATCCTGTTTGATGTTCTGTATGCATTAGTCTTGTAAGCAATACCGGATCATTCAATGCTGCAAAAGTGCTGAGATGTACATGAGGGGAGGAAGGTGTGGAGGGAAACTATTGGAACTCTCCACCTCATATTAGGGTTTATGTCAGCATAGCAGTTTTTGTGGGCACAATGTAATTAAATTAGAAAATGATATATTAATTAAAAAAAGCTGAAGAAAGGCTAAAGGTTTTAAAATCCAGTTAAAGGGAAGATTACCAGTAGCCATGGGCTACAAATATTCTGTAGCTCAGGCTTCATCTCTGAACTCCTCTTTATGAAATATTTGAGGAATTAATCATTATTGTGCCTGCATTTGTTCTGTACCAAAATTCACCCAACTTCTTCTGACCACACTGATAGGCACAGCCATGTGTCACACATAACTATTCCACTCCCTTTTTAGATGATCAGTTTTTACTTTTAGATGATAAAGTGCCTTTTTTCCTTTTTGCATTTGAGAGATATAGGTACATTATCCCTCTTAATAGCAGATGTTGAAGCCCGAGTTAAGGCTTTTTTGATTTAAATGAAAACTCCTCCTGTATTCAGGCTAGAATTTGACTGTATTGCTCACAAACCCCTGCATATCAAAAGTAGATTGGCCTCCAGAGACTGTGAATTTTAATATTTGTTTTGAATGTGGTTATGCAAACATGGCTCCGAGCTTTGCAACACTTTGTGAGTTTGATTCTTGACTCTGGAACAAATTGCTGCCAAGTGCTCTTGAAGTAGAGAGTGTGTCAAACAGAGATCAACGTTTTTGACCTGTATTCTCTTGCCCTGTGGGGTAAGATCTTTAAATGCAGACAGCATCAAGGTTCAGCTCAGTGTTACTGATGTAAATGGAGTATATCACTGTCATCAAAGCACTCTATGTGGACACAGATGTTCTGGTGTTGACATATTCTTCTCTTTTGAAGCAAGGCCAAACATTTCCAGTAATGAGCTACTGGAAAAGAGGAAGCAGTAGGAATATCCTTGAGGGATAAAGAAAAATATAGGTTTCACTGTAAAGAAAAAGATTTTTTTAAAAAAATTAAAGCCTGCAAAAAAATTCTAATTAAAATAATGTGTATGTTTTCCCCACATGTGGTCATGGACACTAAATAGTAAGGGATTATATCAGTTGTATCAAATTCACTGCATGGAAGCACAGCTCACATATAGAAATACAGCAATGTGTTACACCTTGTGACATCAGTTGCTTTTTCCACAGCAGGCTGGACAAGATAAAAACCAAGGAAACAGGCTGTGTCACTTTAACATTTTGCTTAAAATTTACTCTTTTTTCAGCTATATTGCACCAAAATTTTAGAGAATTGGAGGGTATTTGGAAATCAAAAATTGCTATATATAAATTTTTAATATAAAACCTCAGTATCATAGAGACCTGTTCTGATTTACCTGTGTCTGTTTTTCCTGTTTAGTGGATGTGAAGAATTTGAAGGGAGATGGATTTGAGGAAATTGAATTTTTGCTGTGTTTATGGACTTTGGGCTATAATCCTATTTTACTTTGCTGCTTGATTTAAGTGCAACATTATTTTGTTGCAGTTTCTTAATCATGATTTCACACTAAGAGCTCTGTCTTTGGAAGTAAAGGCAGTAAAAAGGCCTGCCATGTGGGCATAGCTGTGGAAGACCATCTAAGTCCATGTACTGTACTAATTTATTGATTGCACAAAGTTTTACAAGTTTCTCAAAGTTAAATAGAAGAGTGAATTGTTCGAGAGGCAGCAGATTTTCCAAATGATGAAGTGAGCAAATATTCCCTTTGGGCAGAGAACAGCTATAACTCTTGATTATTCAGTGTGAGCATTGCCTCATTGGGGACATTAGTTTTTCAAATTGTGCTAATCTTTTAAAAGTAACAACTGGCCACTCATCACCTTAGGTATTTCAGCAAGATCATGTGCAAAACTCTAATTAGTATTTATAGAACAGCAACTCCTCCCAGTAGAATAGTAGCAGTAGCTGGCAAATATCTGGTTGACACCTGTTAAGTCTTTAGACATCCATTGTATTTTATTCTGCATTTCAAATGAGCAGAGAGCAGTAGGTGAAGTCCCCATAATTAAGGGATAAAAGATAATAAATAACATGGCTCTTGAGTGGATGAACACAAGGTTAAAGGCTGTTCTGCAGTTTTGATGCTGTATTTCAGGAACTGTTTGTTTGTGAGTAATAATGCTAGCTAAAATATTACTGAGCCTTCAGCATACGGAGGATTTATGTCTAGATCTAAATGTGTTTTGTTTATAATGTCAGATTTCAAACTGCTTCTTGGCAAAGCAGCTGCTTTCTTCCCTGTCTTTTATCTCACTCAGCAGTGATGGCTTTTTACTGGGTAGGCCCCTTCCCCAGCAAGCACTCTGCTACCTCTGCTGCTGAAACATCTACTGCTAAACGCTTGCAACACATTGCTTCTGAAGTGTTTTTCTTTTCCAGCAAACCTGGAAGCACAGAAAAACTTCTGGGTAATTAATTCAAATTTGAATCTTTATGTATCTTGGTAAATATTGTCATGATGAGGAATTTTGGTAGACATCAAGAAAAGCAATGTAAGTTTTATGAACAATACTCCCATATGTTCCATTCATCAGAAGGGGACAAGTCTGAGAAAATCTGAATTTTGAGTAGCTAAAATGTGTTGCTTCTTGCCAAGTTTCTTTAACATTTGTGTCTACAATGCAGTGTTACAATCACTACCATGTCTACCAGGCTGCATTATACATTCTGAGACTTTCAGCAGCATTTTTAGTATGTATTTATATATCTTTAGCCATAAGATAAGCTGTTTGTGAAATGAGCTGTCATTTGTGGTGAAACAGTTTGAGAATAAAGCACTAAATATATATATAGCTTGCTAATCTGAAAGACTAAAACTGCTTACTATAAAATATGTGGCAGGCTGGGGCT